GTCGATTTGTATGTCTTATCTTACTTTTAAATTATACCAACTATGTGTAAAATAAATAAATAAATAAAATATTTTCTGAGTGTGACTGAATTTTGTTAACATTTGGTCGACGACCACAGCCGAGGTGCAAACCTAGTCGGTCCCCTCAGACTAAAGTCAATTAGATATGTTTTATTACATTCTGAATAAATAAAAAAATACTAAGTATTCTTGTATATATAAGTATGTACAAAGTATGTCTATATTAGGGTTACAAAATCCAAATTAAATTAAATTAAAAAAAGGTTTTGACTTTTAAAAAAAGGACGCAGTATTAACAACAGTGAAATTAATATGTATGTATTATTTTAATAAGTGAAATGATATTCAAGTAAAAACATAGGATTTTTTCATAATAACGTTTTATTTTTAAAAAAATTTTTGTGTTGAAAAACTATTAACATTAAGAAAATTTTTAAAATTTGTAAACAAAGGACTTATTAATATAAGCATACTTTTAAAATTCGAAAATACAAAAATATAATATTTTAACAACTATCCTTCGATTAAGTAGGTTCACTAGGTACCTATTAGGCTTGTATCAGGAATTATTTATATATATATATGTTACAATTAGTGATTACTTTAGTAGATTGGTATTTAAATGTTACAGTTAGATTGTATGTATACTTATTAGAGAGCTATACACAATCTAACTCTATAATATAGGACATTCAATATAATATACGACTATTGTAAGCATCTGGTTACAAAAGAATCCCTGCCGAGTTTCTTATAATTTCTTCTCGGCAGATGTCCATTACGAAAGTACGGTAGAATCGCAAAAGTAATACATTGAGAAAGGCATACAATGATATGAAAGGAATAAATAAGTTGAATAATATCTGCTATATTTATTTAGTTACCTAACAAATATTCGATATTTAACATATTTTGATGTACTAAATGTAATACATTCTTGTCTATGCATAAACGATGTTTAAAGTAATAATTACGAACAACGATAAATCAAGACTTTATGTAGTTAAGTTTTAATATATATCATAAACAGTGATCATAAACTAGGCACTTTAACTACTACGGCACTACAACTTTCACAGATAAAAAGATTTCTTATTTAGCACGACGCTGTGTATATGACATTGTAGATCACTAAATGGATCATATACTAAATACAAGCTGAGCCGACAAACGTTATTTTGACATATATAATAATAACGCAATTAAAAATAGGGGTTGGTAATAGGTAAATTTTAGGAGTGTATGTATTTTTAATACCGCAACATAAAAAAAAAAGTTCAAAAACTAAAAATGGATAATAACCTATTCTCAGAAATTTCGAGAATACATATAAATTTTCATCAAATTCGGTAAATAGCCGTTTCGGAGAAATATGGCAACTGACACTCAATTTTACACAAGTATTTTATACATATACAAACGTATAGAGAAGATAGAGATATAAATAAATATCGCTGCGACTATTATCTCTTATGTGGTAGTCAGAGGTAGTGTAAACTGTGTCTAGAACTCTTGACATTATTTAGCCCTTATTTCGCTAGGTATATTTGAATCCAAAGTGGCAGAGATCGCACCTCCCGTCTCTCGAATTTTTGATTTGTCTTCAACGGAACTATAGCCAAAAATATATATATAAAAACATGACACACAAAAATTTTAAGCAGGGTTGGTATAGGTCAAATTTTTTTTTATTACACACAACATATATGTATAAAACATCCAAACAGTCCTAATCATGAATACGAATGTTTTCAATTTGCATCATGCGAGTAATCGAACTCACGACCTCCGGAAGTTAAGCGGTCTGCTAAACCGCTATACCACCGGGGCCGAATATTATGCGCTGTACCTACCCGTTATTCACCTATAAAAGGCTTACAAAATACAAAATGTCATTATACAGAATATAAGATAATTTTTAGAAATAGTTATGTAGATTTTCTAGGTCCCCAGAAGATCTTACCCAAGTTTCATCAGTGTCATCAATAGGTTACGAACGCATACAGGACAAACATACTGATACAAATTTTTACTTATAGGTATACTATATGTACAATGATCATTAAATTAACTTCTCTGTTGGTAGATTACCCATTATGACTTAACTAGTAACATATAGCCATGTAACTGCAGTCGCCTAACATTATATGGCTGCAATAACTGAAAATAAATTACATGACCGCGGGGTAAGTACGGACGTTGTAAATTTATTGCACATTGAATATTGGCCATGTTCGTGAAATTAAAAACTCATTAATCTACATTTATATTACAACGTTACGTTTTATTATTGCATATCCGTACCAGTCTATAAATATCTATGAATTAATAATAAACTCGACTGTGACTGCACAGCAATAAAACATGATAAGTCACTTCGAAATACGTAACGGTTTTTAGGCTTAAGTTAATTACAGTATGTATATTCACGTACGGTAATCTAAATAGGGTAGTTAAAGGTATTGTTAACTGTCAAAGAGGTAAACGCAACACAACATGCCCACATTTCACTCGGTATATTTCTATATATAATGTGTAAATTAAGTTGTTTTGCCAGAAAATGTATGTCACTATTATTAGAAAAGTGCCTGTACTATATTGAATATATATATATATATATATATATAATAACTTCTAAACTTGTAAATATGTATAGGTACTTACTTTAAAAAATCAAACACAATATATATTGTTTATGTATAAATAAAATAACTCGGAGACTTATATAAAGAAATAAAAATAAAGGTTGTTAATTATATCTATACATATATAGGTATAGGTATAGATTATATATTACATAGATTATACCTACGTCATGAAAAATAGTTATAATTTATTTTATATATTCTTGTAATTATGTTTATGATAAAGTAGTTACGAGTACAAGATGTGAACTCTGACCCAACATGATTTTACATGTGACAAATTTCTCTTTTACAAAAAGGTTCTATATCTAATATTTAGGCACTTCCATGTGTAATAAAATAAATTCACATATGAAACTTATCTCTGTGTCAGTACATGCTTTGATTGCAGAAATAAGATTCGTGAATTCATTCAAAATATGACCTATGACAATACAGAAAAAATATTATATGATGTAAAACTTCAAATTTTCAATGGATGTGCCGATATTCATTTATAATATTACAAATTAAGATCTAATTTATCTATTTCTAATACAGGATATTGATTAGCTTATTCAGGAGACCAGTTTTAGTATATTTATATATTACTTTTATTAAAATCAATGACACTACAGAGCCTTTCCTGAATCAATTAATTTATTTTATTTAATTTTACATTCAATATTTTTTTTAAATAGTCTATGAGAGATGATCTCACACTATTACTATCTAAACAATATATATCTTTGTAAACACATCTCTAAACGATATAGTCGATCTCAAAGATCAGTTTTGATTTCATTTCCTTGTCACCCTGTCAATGTTATGAATAATGGTACTCAACGATTCCAATGTAAAGACTAGTAACAAGCGATGAAACAAAAAAACGAGAGATCAGATCGGTGCCTGTATCAATTGTAAATTTTCCGGCGAGTATCGATGTCTGTGCGTGCACAAAAAGGCCGGCGCGGTCGCATGATGGCGATGTTGCAGCATCATGGTCGCCACACAGCGCGCAGGTCACAGGTCACCTGTACACCGGACCGCCTACCCTGCCGGCATTCCTCGCCACATACCAACTATAACCCTGTCTAGTGAGCAACGACTAGTTGAAAGAAGCGCACCGTCGCCGGCCGGGGTCCATCCACAGCGGAGGAGTGCTTCGCCGTACGGATGACTTGGGAAACGATGACTGTGTATATCTTTAATACGTCGAAGGTTAATTGGACGTAGGATGAGTATTGTAAAGGTATTAACGTGCGGACCGTCTCACTAAACGATGCAATGCATGTAGACGGGGATACGTTTTTGTAAACAAATAGCTTTCTGCGTGTCTGTCCATGTGTGCAATAAGTGCTAATGTAATGTGCACGCTAAGCATAGCTTGTATTATGGTTACTAGACAACTGATATAAGTAGATAACTAGATTGAGGCAAACAATCGTAGTCAAACAATACAAAAGTTTGTACCTTGCGAATAATTGAACCTGCCACCATCGGATCTAAGGCGGTTCTAAACCGCTTGACCACCGACGCCGTCATATTTTGTGTTATAATAACTACAAACAAAAAATAATGGGATTTGATTTCTGTGCGTTTAAATTAAAAACTTCGCCACGTTTCTTCGGCGAGGTCGATTGAGTCGCGCTGAGGCCGCAAGGGATATTCGTTCATTAAAACTCGTCATTTGTTAAATTTAAGATTATAAACTGAATGATAAATATTCCGAAGATCGATTGTGTGATGTGAAAGCTCAAGACTCGACAACGAGATTTAACAGAGTATAGAGAAGGCCTTGAAGGCCAAGGTTTTAACTGTGAGCCAGTCAGTTTAAGATAATTAATTGTTTACGGTTTTTTACACAATAATATTTATTTATTCTATCTATATAATACTTAACTAAAAATGTTATAATATTAATTAAAAAATATACTATTGAGCGAAGTGGGTATATTGTTGATTTGTTGAAAAAAATATTTTTGTACATATCAGTTTATGTTTATGTAAACTTTATAAAGCCTTTCATAAACAAGTGTGTATATGTAGTGTAATATAAAGCATGTTAATAATTACATGGAAATATAACTATGTGTACGTAATTCATTATAACGTTATAATTAAAACACGTAATTACATAACAAAAAACGTAAACGTATTATAAAACTGCGCTGCCGAAAGTATTTTATTTCCATTAAATACATATCTATTTTATTTTTAATATAAATAAAATTAAATTAAAATTATAAAAATATTTAGAAATTCAAAACATAAATATTATTAACACAGATGTTATGGTATTTTTTGTGGTACGAGAATAGTAGTCGCCGGCGCAAATGGCCAAGTTTGACTTACTTGGCGTAATCCTGCTTACAGTAGACCTGCCGATCCCGGAGGAAGCAAGACGGGTGTCGGTCCAACTGGACGGCGCAGACGCAACACCTCAGACATCCGGTGTGCCACGCGCCGCCGCCCACCTCCAGAAGGAAACGGTCCGCTATCGCCTCGCCGCACGCGCAACATGTGCGGTGCTCCGTCTAGAAAAATAGTACAATGGCATGTAGACATAGATAGTTAAATAATAATAACTAGTGGACGAAATTTGATCATAATTAATGAGAAATAAGAATATATGACCACAGACTTTAACAATATAAAAAAGAGTATGTATGCATGTCCGTTAGAAATACTATGTATTGTGTACATATTGTTTATACATAATTAAAAAAATATAATATATAATAAATATATATTCTGCACTCCTTGCCATTTGCAAATATTTTTTTCTCTCTGTATAAACTATCATATCATCAGTATGCGAAATTTTCTACTCAGCCGTCCGCGCAATTTTTGGAAAAAAGGGTAGGAACAATATAAACTATTTCCTTCACTTATTAATATAACTATACAAAAAACAGTGAAAAGTAAAAAATACTTATTATTCAGCCTACTAAATATTTTGTATACAAGTTCATAATACTGAACACCTGCTACATCATAAGAAAAATTCTAACTTTCTCATTGATATCCGCTCGCAACTCTCCACACTCAGCTAAGGCTCGTGTGAGTGAGTATTACCTTATTTTATACCAAATAAAAGAAGAGACAAAAGAGGCAGTGCCTAAATATAATAATAATATTAATTAAAAAGAATTACCTTCTTTTATATCAGATTTTCTTAATCTGATAAGTGAGAGAAGTAATAATAATAATAACCCTGGCAACTTCACACAACACCATCTTGTCCCAAGCTAAGTAGAGCTTCTGTTATGGGTACTACACAACTTATAGAAATTTACTCGAATACGTAATATACAATAGGCAAAGATACATCGAAATAATTGAACTAAATTGGAATACAATCAAAAATTACAATATTTAATTGTAAAATCAACACCGGAGCGCAACAAATAACGAGATTACATGTAATAATGCAGTCGCGTAACTGAAAATTAGTTTATCGAGTGGCGCACATGTGCGGCGGACAAAGCCGGGTGCGTGCATTGTTTATATGATTGGCGGGAAGTCGCGGGGGTGTCGGGGCAGAGCAGGGGGTGTCGGGGCAGAGCAGGGGGTGTCGTGTCGTCTAATCTAATAGAGATGTTGCGTAAATATATACACCCCTTGCTTTGATTCAATAATCACACGTGTTATTTGTCACAATTGCAACAAGCGTTTGTTTTTGTAATTTTATTTAGGCTGTATTTATGGCTGGGGAAGGACTGTTGACTGGATTTTCATCATTTTATAAATCATATATTTACAACTAAACTTTATACTAATACTAGCCGAGCGTGTAACTTCGTCTCCGTAAAAGTAATAAAAGTTGCCTGGTGTAGGTAATTACAATAATTAAGGAACGCCAATTAAACATGAACTCTCTCCGCGCCTCCCATCATTACATAGTAAAAAACAAAGTCGCTGTCGCTGTCGCTGTCCGTCCCTATGTATGCTTAAATCTTTAAAACTACGCAACTGATTTTATAAGCGGTATTTTTAATAGATAAAGTAATCCAAGAGGAAGATTTATATATATATAATACATGTACATCCGTGCGAAGCCGGAATGAGTAGCTAGTTATTGATAAAAAGCGATCAAATGAAACTACATATAAATTAGAATGATAGAACAATATTATTTCTTTGGGAAATATTATGATTTATTTGTTATAGACATATGCAAAAGTACTTAACGGATTGTAAAAAATATTTGACTCAATTTATATGCAAATATGTGCTGTATTTTATTATTGGTTTATTTAAAAAGAATGTTTAGGCATAAGCTGAGAGCACAAAACGGCTACCGATAGTAAATGGTAATCGTCAAAGGCATACATAAAAGTCGTTCTCTACCATTCTTTACCATTCTTGAAAACTAAAATGTCATTCTATACTGTAACCTGAAAAACATCAGACAAAACAAGCTGCTAGTTGGCTGAAATAGGTGTGACTGAGTTACCCACGCAAACGAACAAAGTCTGTCTCGGTTTATGATAGATAATAATTGGCATGCAGCTAGTACATAAAATTTTTAACGTTTCCGCATTGTATCTGCCGTTGGTGTTTTTAAATAAATAAATAATTCGAGCTTCGCTATTATGACAGGTACGGAATCGAAGCTATTGACTCGTCGAGTGCGCACCCGGCTCTCGGCTCCTAGCCACATAATAACAAACAATCCATGAACATTAACGTTTAGTGCCGCTCTGGCACCCCAAAACAAATTCACAGCGTTTTGTAAGCAATAAATATGTTATGCGTTGCGCGCACCCGTCTGCCGCGTCCCCAGCCTCCAATCGTCCCAGGACAATACCTATAATAACCGCACATATGTAATAGTCTCGGCTCTGCACCCTCTCGAACAAAAGCAGTTGGCACCTATCAAAGTCTTCGTAACAAATTTCTTGAGGGGCCCATTGACAAAGCATAATAGAGCCCCGGTGGCCGCTTTGTCCCGGATTCGACTTCAGTTGACTGATATCACTTTTTTTCGACACTTTTTCTGCTGGACCCGAAACGAGCGAGCTACTCGTGTATAATAACGTTGTTTGAGTATATTTAACGCGTCATTTAGAAGGGTTTGTTTGCTCTGCCTTCTCGTTGAAATTATGCAAATGATCACTTTTTGTTGGTCACTTCTGGCGTCTTACGAGGTGAATGTAACGTCATACTCATGGTTGCTATTTAAAAAGGGGCATCCTGTAAATGGTTTTAAAACTGTTCTTTCTGATAATATATAAAATAAATTAATCATACCTTACCAAGCCCTTGTGTTTCTCGTTCTCCAATCAAGATTTATTATGACCGAGGGAGGGAGGAATATGAAATAAATATTATTGTATAAAATAATTAGAGACTGTAATAATTCTAAACGCAACATAGACGTACTGGTTGCTAGTTTTAAAATATTACCGTCATATCAAATTTTCTAAATTTCCTCACATAATAAAAAATATGTGACATAAATCAACATAATACTTTAGCGACAGTAAAAGTTTCTGTAGATCTCAAATAAATTTAAATTTAATACTGACTTCCATAACGTTCTACAATATCGATGTTGCCACAGAACAATTAATATCTATGGGGTGTCGTTTTTAACCGTCATTGAATTCCAATAACGTCTGACAAAAGGTACAGAAACGTTTAGACGACAGCTACGAGACTGCACTAGTGTAATATAGGGTTGTCAACATTTAGATTTTTATCTTCTTAAAAAGGACTAAAAATGCTTGTATATTAATTTAATTTGACTGTCTATCCTCGTATTCTGGTAATTACATTCCACCTACATATTTTGGTAGTTCAAAGTCTTGTACAACATGCGAGCAGGAATATGAAAATGTGTTCGTATCGTAAACCAAAAATATAGTACTTTAGATACGGTTGACATCCCTAGTACCATGTGAATTCAACAAAATCGTCGTGTACAAAATTCGCATTGTGTGTTCGATTAGGCGGGCGTGACGCAGGGTCCGCTACCAAATCGCATTGATTGGTCGGATATTGGAGTTAAAACGAGCCAGTAATCCTGTGCATGCATGCGAGACATTACTACTCAATCAGAGAGGACACCTTCAAGACATTAATCCAAGATAGGGCGGGTAGTCAGAAGCATTGCAAAATATCTCTATGTACTCTTGATTTTTAATCTAGTCTATCAGTGATAGCAGCAGCAGTAATATATATACCATTTCTCGTATGAATTCTTTTGTTATCCGAATATGAATATATATTTTTTTTATTTGTATCAGCCAGTTTGTAACTCATTACTTTTTGAGTTCTATAAATAGTAAACCTAACATTAATGTCCATAATTTTGTGTACAAATAGCATTGGAGGTGAAAATGAATACAAACTTACTATCATATAGTTTGGCATCCAATTGCATAAAAATATAATTTGTATAGATACTTATACGATGGATCATGAGTTATGTGAACAAATAATATACAATAAAATATCTCTTACAAGGTCTGGTTAATTAAGTTAATAATATTAAGGTAATTAATTTAAACAGTATCATTTAGTCCCAAATGATACTGTGTGAGTTATATTGATCTTATTATTATACAAGAAAAGATCAATTTTACAGATAAGTATTCCTTCCTTAACATTATTTTTAATAATAATGTGTTTAAAGTGCAATAAAAATAAAATAATTATGAATTCACTTAACGTAAGAAGTACGTTTTCTATTCATAGTAAATCTGAGTATATCATTTTGCAATTTTACACACCCAACACTGAATAGAGTAAATATAATGGCACGAGAAATTCACGAGCATTAGTGACTCTATAATCCATAAAGTAAACGTAATTGAATCGGACACGGGCCAGCCGAGGGCGCTGCTTGACTGACAGACAGTCGGGCGGACGGAGGCGTGATAGCAGGGTATCCAAACTGTCCTGCTTTTGTCCCGGGTTCCAACCATTATCCAGAATTGTGGACCTAAAGGTGGCATCACGGCGCCTGCCTACGCCATTGTCATGAGCTTACGTTTGCAAATCCGATTTATATTTGAATATAATTGACTTTCGGCCCGTATCAGGTACCAAGCTTGTATCTCATTGTGTGCAGCTGATCTCAATGGCATTTTTATCGGCTGAACATGACAAATGTATTTAGGAGATTAAGTTTAGTGGGTGGGTGCGCTTCGGTGTGCCGATGGGCACGCTTAGCTATTTAAATAATTTTAAAGAATGTTGTTTGAGCTCCTTTTTTCTCGGTATCGTTGTCACTTCGATTGCAAATCGAACTTATTCGACTTATCAGTAGGGAAATAAAGGCATTAGAACCATCCTAAAATAAAACTCGCCTAAGTTATTGTAAACATTTATATTATAACAATTATAACATTTGCTATCTAGATTGAAAGTCCCGTCAAATTAGCAAGAACAAACAAACAAACAGACAGGTAATTTATGTTTAAATATCTAATATTTTTATGTGAGTAACGTACGTCACACGTACGCATTTAGTGAAAAGCTTAAAATTATACAAACAGACACTCAATTGTATAATTAACGGAACTCT